AGAATCATTACCGTACACTAATTAGTTTACAATTAGTTTTAAATTTATAAGGCTCAAGCGAACGTAAACTATATTACGAACGGGGACCACGCTCTCACAGAATACCAACTTAAAATAGCAGCTTAATGCTGCTGTGTTTCGTATGGTGAGTGTAAAAGACCGGAGACACTTTTTACTGAAAACGACGTATTCCATTTCACTCAGGGGTGACAACGCATCTCCATTTTATTAACAGCACTTGCAGTGCTATGTTCCAGCCTAAAGAGTCTAGAGAGACAGTATAATTGCAGGCTGAGAGACATTCCATCTCAGTCCTCAGAGGTGACAACTCATCTTTAGCCTTCTTTTCTTGAAATGGCTGAAGTTGTCCCTGATCTGCTTTGACCACTTACCAACAGGTGGATTGTAATCTCGTTTGTCACTGCACTTTTATAAATAAAAAACCTTGTTGTCACGCCTGAGGACTAAAATAGAATGTATGGTTATAAGTCTCCAGTTCTTGTCATTTATCATACAAAATAACAAACGAAACAGAAGCATGTGCTCTACATGAGCCTCCTCCGATTTTTGATAGGGTTTTAGTCTAAGGGAGCTTCGTCGCACTGTACTAATTTATTTTTGCGCACTTCAAATATTCTGCCGGTTGCATTATATTTTTCTTCACCTCTAATCACAAGGTGTAATAGTGCCGTAAGAGTATCGAGAAACTGAAATAAGAAATTCGCAGCAGCATTTTCCTTCTAAAAATTGGGCCCACTACAAGTACTTCCAAATGGGAAGTTAATATGAAAATCTGTCTGGTATATGGACTAATGGTCTGAATTAAAATTATTATTATTGTTTTAACGTAGGTGTAAAGTGCCATTCGTACTGGTTCTACTGAACGTAGTATGGTTTTATTATAGTTTTCCCCGACAAAGAGTAATTTAAACTAAATACTTAAAATTTACACTGCCGGTATTTTAAACAAGTTTTAGATAAATTCATTGTATTAAGAAAACATGTTACGCCAGACTTGTTTGATCATAAAAATAAACAAGTCTCCGTCAAAAATGTAGATGTATACGTTAAAGAATGTAACTTAAGTAAAGCACGTTTATCATAATTAGTTAAAATAAAGCAATCCATACAATATTTCATCTTTCGAGATTTATTCTGAACTAGCTATTACAATACGTATTAATACAACGAGCTAATGGCATAAGATCACGCGAGTGTGAACACGCCACTTTAAATTAACTGTCAATGCACTTTCTAATGATATTTGAATATTATAATCTTATTCCTTATTAGCGATCAGGACGGACTTTGCCTGGTTACTTAGATTTGTTTTTTAAATTTTTAGTTTGTTCCAAAGAGTTTAGTTTGTTAAAAAGAATATAAAATATAGCCAAAAATTGTACACGTGGTAGAGCCACGCTACAGCTATATTATGTTTGTATCACGAACGGGGAAGGACCACGTTCTCACAGAATACCAGCGTAAAATAGCAGCGTAATGCTGTTGTGTTCGGTATGGTGAGTCTAGAGAACCGGATACCTGTTTTACTGGAATCGAGGCATTCCATCTTAGTCCTCAGAGGTGACAACGCGTCTGCATTTTGATTCCTAATCGAGGTTGAATGTAGATGTCTATGGACCACAGCATCCACTTACCATCAGGTGGACTGTTTGCTCGTTTGGCACCCTTATTCTATAAAAAAAAGATACTTCCTGTCTTTGCTCTCTATCAAAAAAAGTTTTATCACAATCCGCCCAGCTATTTCGAATATAAGCCTGGATATGGACAGACTGACACACAAAATGTTTAAAATGGTTATTCATCTCTTAGTACCATGTAAATAGCCCCCTGAGCTTAATAGAAGCCAGTTATATCAATATAACAGACAGACACTCCAACTTTATTTATATGTTATTATAGTTGTTGACGTCTCTGTGTCTGTGACCTGATCAAAGAATGCACAAGTTTGCTACGAGTTTCAGATGAAGTAAAAAAAAATGAGTTGCGAGTTATCAAAACCATTCCTAATAAGTTAGGTTATAAAGAAATAATGAATTTGTCAGTAGATTTTCTCAGAAGCCCGTAAAAGTCTAGACATGAACCTCTCCCGTTGTCTATGTATGCCATAATCACCACGTTGCCAGGTGGATGGGTGGTGGTGGATTCGCGATCGCTTTACGTCTCGCACATGTTTGACACTACTGTCCGTGTCCGGTCTATGTATTTTATGTCTGGCCTCAGCGCGGGGGGGGGGGGGTTATACTGTAATCTCTCGAAAACCGGGGGCTTTGGCTTTTCCTAGTGACCTCTTACGACGCCCACGTGTTTGCTGTGGCCCATAGATATCTACGTCTGTAGGTACTCGTTTGCGAATAAAAATGCAGATGCAGAGTTGTGAGGACTAAGATGGAACTGCCTTTATTCCAGTAAAAAGGGTCTCCAGTTCTCTACACTCATCATGCGAAAAACGACCACATTAAGCTGCTATTTTACGCTGATATTTTCTGAGAGCGTGGTCCTTACCCGGTCGAGCCGAATAATTCGTTCGTTTATACGTATGCGTAACAACTAATAACTTTTCACATTAAGTTAGTACGATACTCTCCTATTTATATATGTAATTATATTACCTGCTAGCGAATCGATCTGATAATGGACTTTATTACGAAGCGTATTGGGTTATTTTTTAAAAAGATGTAAAAATTTCTATACGATTGAAAAACGTCTGTTGACGCAAATTGTTTATTCTAATGTTTACGCATAACGTATTCATGAGAGCGGACATAACTATTTTTAAATCGATAAGTTGGTATTTTAACTGTTTTATAGATTCGTTTCGTTGCGTTTCGTCCATACAAATCGTCGAATTAGCAATCGAGTAGTCGATGATATATTGGATTATGGTAATACAATTAAATGGTATTAGTCTAATAACAAGCTATGCTAACCATCGACTACTATTTGACAAACGGTTAAGCTGATCATTAAACATCCGACGTGCTTTACGATTTCCTTTGTATTTTTATTTATTCTAATGATTAATACAATAAAACTATCGTATACTGTATAAGATGTTATATTTTTATTTGTATATAAGTATGTTAAAGTATAAAATATTACTTTTTTAAACAGACGGTCGGCAAAAGAGCACACAGTTGTTTGTTGGTAAGTGGATGTTAGTCCATAGACATCTACATCTACCCTTGAGTGAGAATCATAATGCAGGTACGTTTTTACACCTGAGGACTAAGATGGAATGCAAAAAAAATCCTGTAAGAAGGGTCTCCGTATCTCTACACTCAACATACGAAACAGAGCAGCATTAAGCTGCTATTTTACGCTGGTATTGTGTGAGAGCGTAGACCTTCTCCAGTAAAGCCAACCCACTAATGCTACAAACATAATATAGCTGTAGCATGGATCTATTACGTATGAAAATTACTTCGTTTAAACATTCTGTGCAGTGTTTAATTTCTAGTTTAAGTTTTATAATTTTTTGTATCATCTCTGTTAGCTTGCCAATTCTATTTTTTTATAGGATAGGGTGACAAACGAGCACACAGTTCACCTGATGGTAAGTGGTTGCTGTGGCCCATAGACATCTACATCTATCCCCGATTACGAATCAAAATGCAGATGCGTTGTCACCCGCGAGAACTAAGATGGAATGCCTCGTTTTCAGCCAAAAGGGTCTTTGGTTCTCTACACTCACCATACGAATCACAGCAGCATTAAGCTAATATTTTACGCTGGTATTCTGTGAGAGCGTGGTCCTTCCTCGGTCGAGCCGACCCATTCGTGCTACAACTATACTACTAATATAACTGCAGCATGGCTCTACCACGTATTAAATAAATAAACTTATAAGCCGTGGTAAGGTTGGTTTTCATAGTGACCGCAGATAAACACGCATCTTTTTTTTGTATTTTTCTGATTTTTCTTCATGTTTATTTATTGTTACAACTGTATTAACTAAGCTCTTTATTTACGGCTTAGAATTCATGTTTATCTAGAAAATAATATATTACAAGAAATGAACCAAATAAATTGCAAGTTAGTTTCAAAAATAATCGATCTTGTTCATAAAATCGATATCAATTGAAGAAATGCTTAAAGTTGTTTCTTCTCTTTTTTCACAAAATGAAAACGAAAAGAGACAAGCATACAGATAATTAATACATCATAAAATTGGGCTTCGAACACTTTTTAAATAATACCCTTCGTACATCAAACCAACAAAAATAGGCGAAGCGCTGCGTATACAAGTATTTTAAGTGATGCCGAAACCAACTTCTCGATAAACACTTAGGTCCGGTTTACATTTTGAGAAGTGACAAGTGCAAATGGCAAGTGAATAGTGGCAAGTGAGAAGCGTCACTTCTCACTTGCCACCATTCATGTGCGTATTTTATTCCCACTTATGACTTGTCACTGCCTGTTCACACGCACTAAGCATTTGTCATTTGTCAGTTGCATTTGTCACTCGCACTTTTCACTTCTCAAAATGTAAACCGGGCCTAACGCACACAGATCTTTCTTCTTTCTTTCTTTATTAGTTGCTTCAATAAGTTCATTGCTGAAAGCACACATATTAAGCGCCTAAAATCATGTTGTCAGTCGCAAATGATTTATATGTTTAATGTGAGTGCGTGTTCTTAAACTAAGTTGACCACAGTTTTAGCTTAGTTTTTGCACGGCGCTTGAAATATCTGCAGCGTTCGATCTCTCTTTCTTTATTTATTGGTCTGAGCTCCATACAGATAAGTAATATTACAAAGTTGAGCGCTACAGCTACTTTATATAGGGTTAAAATTTAAAAGTCAAATACTGATAATTTGGACAACTCTACAAAATATATATATAAAAAAAAAAAAACATATAAATACATTCAATACAAAAAACCATTTCCAAAATTAGTGTTTTACTTTAATTTCTTTCCGGTTATAGAAATAATAAAAAAGAGTCGTGCATGAATAATAAAAACACACTTTGTTCTGCAGGTTGCAAATCATTTTTCAAGAGATCAGTCAGAAGAAACCTAACGTACTCCTGCAGAGGGAATAGAAATTGTCCAATCGATCAGCACCACAGAAACCAGTGCCAGTACTGCAGACTGAGAAAATGTCTCAAAATGGGCATGAGGAGAGAAGGTGAGTCGATTGCAATATCTAACGCGGGAAGATGAGAGTTATTTACTGAGATTAACATTTTAAAAGAAGAAAATTTTACTAACCACAGATTATAAATTGGCGTTAAGATCGTAGTGTATAATAAAGCTGTACTAACAGTGTCATGCCTGTGTTGAGACATTTGATACCTATGTTAATAAAGTTTTATTTTCTGTTCGCCGGTACTTTACTCAACTCTGTAAGTACTATGTAATATATAGCTAATAATTTTATATTAACGTTTATTTTTGTTTCTGACGATGGAAACGATATCTTTGGACCACTTGCAGGAAGCGCAATCTGCACAGAGTTATTTTAATTAATATTATGTTAATTATGTGTGAGCAGCTATTCTACTTGTAGTAACTATTCAGGTCTCACAAGAGTAGTATTACTGCAACCATCATTATATATTGAGGGAATTTATTGTATAGCCCTAACCCTAAGGCCTAGTACATCTTTATATAGCTCTACACTTTCAAGTTCTACACTTTAAATTAATTGTTTGAGTTGATCAGTTATGTGGACTTTTTTTTAGAGTAAGGGTGACAAACGAGCACACAGTCCACCTAATGGTAAGTGGATGCTGTGGCCCATAGACATTCATATTTAACCTCGATTATGAATCAAAATGTAGATGCGTTGTTACCCCTGAGTATCTCGGTCTTCGATCTCGATTTTATAAGGTGGAATCTCGATTTACTGGATCGATTCCGTACTATATATCAATTTAAAAATCGATATTTTCGATTATTCGATTAATCGGTCGCCATTCATAATCGGAAGACCTTTTTTAACCGGAACGAATCTTAGTTTTAACGGTTGACAACGCGTGTGCGTTGAAGGTTTTGTCGATTTAGGTAACTAATAACTATGGATCACAGCCCAGTTAACTAAGAATTAATTAAGGATTGTGTGTCAGCCCTAATTCTATAAAAAAGAGTAACCAAGTTTTACATATAATAAGCAGTAAGCGTGCGTAAGTTCGAACAAAAAGCAAACTTTATAGACAGAGATTGTCGCAAGTGTAATTAGTGATTTCATTAATCTTGTCGAGTCATTAGTTGGACGAGCGCCCAAGGGCACTACTCTAAATAACTGTTTGACGATCGGTTATGTGGCCATAATAGGTTATTATTACCGGGGAATTAATATAGATGGTTATTGTTTTAAAGACAGATTTGATTAATGATACAGATGACGATGCTTTTGAATTACCTCGCGCCTGCAATGTTCAAATGCTGCCGTCAGACTCTGTGATCAGCGGCGGCTAGCTAAGCGTTTGAAAATCAAATCTTCGATGAGACTCTGGAAACCAAAAATATTTTAACCGGCTTAAGGAAAAATATTTGCTGTTGCGTTTGCTTGCTACCAGAATTGCTCATTATAACTGAATTTAAGCATGAAACAGTTTTATTTAGATTTTATATTTTTACTTATATTTATTATTATTTTACTTACCATTTTTTACCATATTTTTACTTATAGCTCACCAGTTTTTACTCATATTACATATTTATATTTTGACTTCAAGAATGGAAGGAGTTTTTGATTAGATTACATGTTTATTTTTATGTATATAACACGATATTTTCGTCAATTATAAACCGAGTTTGATTATCCTTCGTTTGTTAAATAGGTTATTATATAAATGAACGAACTTACACTCCACCCAATGCTAAAGGGGTACTGCAATGCATGAACTCTCTTGGCTAACTTCAAACAGATGCGTGGTCACCTCTGAGGACTATGATGGAATTACTCAAAGCTTGTAACTACCCTGGCCCTCTATACCCTTCAGACTGAAACAGCAGTGCCAGCACAGCTATTTAGCAACAGCTGACAACGCTCTCTTGAAGAACTACAGACCGATTTCCCTTCTTAGCCGCGTCTACGCATTGTTTTCGAGAGTCATTTTGAATCGTCTCGCACGCAGACTCGACTTCCACCCTCCCGAACAAGCCGGTTTCCGAAAAGGCTTTAGTACCATAGACCACATATATACCCTTCGACAAATTGAAAGAGGGTGTAACCTATCCATATTAATTTCTAGAAAGAGTCCTACCTCCCACTCTCTTACGATGCCTACTTGACTAAATGGATTGATCGATTCTTTCACACCGTCATCACATCCTCAAAATACTGATTTGATCACTATATAACAATAAAATTGTCAAATTAAATTACCCAAATGGTTAATGTATGTAATTAAAGCCAAGGCCTTCCTTGAGCGGTCACATGGCGTCGCTCAAACGACTTTTAACAGCCCATAGAGAATGTCAACTCTCTGGTTACACGTTTATTGAACGTCAGTGTGCGCTCGTTTTATTATATATAATAAACGATGTTGTAAGAAAGAGGAAAGAAGCTAGTTCTAAGTATTTTTATGTCCCCGATGACGATGATTTTACAACTGTCCGCCATTAAACGCGCTCAATGACTCGTCGTTTAACCGGTGTAATGATTTAGCAGCGGTGATGACTATGAATAAACTAGAACGACGTGTGGAAACTTCAACAGTGTTAAGCAACGCTTAGCTTAATTCTAAGTCCTAGCAGTTTGCATAACAGTTGAAACATATAAGTGTAATTTTAGGTGACAGCTGTTAGGGTATTTCTAAATCCTAGATTTGCGTACCAACGGAATTATAAATGTTATATTGTCAATTTTACCATCACAAATGATGTTTAGGTTTGTGAGATAATAATAGGCGATATATAATAGATGCGGAAATATTATTCATTGCCTAATTTTGTCCCGTGAGTGTTGTGAAGTATTATGAATTATCCGATTGTCACAATTCCATTTCATATGTGTGAGATGTAAATTTACAATATCCGAACACCAAGCGTAGCACAAATATCTCTTCCTATGTTCAGCAGTTATTTATACGCCGGTAAAGCAACGCTGTAGCTATATTATGGTTGTAGCACGAAAGGGTCGGCTCGAGCGGGGAAGCACCACGTTCTCACAGAATACCAGCGTAAAACCTGTGTTTAGTATGGTGAGTGTCGAGAACGAGAGACCCGTTTTACCGGAATCGAGGCATTCCATCTTATTCGTCAGGGGTGAAAACGCGTCTGCGTTTTGATTCTTAATCGAGGTTAAATGTAGACGTCTATAGGCCACAGCATCCACTTACCATCAGGTGATCTGTGTGCTCGTTTATCAACCTTATTCTATAAAAGAAATAAAAAATAAGAAGGGTCATAAATTGATAATTATAAAATATAATATATATAATATAATATATTTTGACTTTGACAACTTGCCACCAAAACGTCAAATAAAAGTGTCAACGTTGAGAGACGTAAGCACTCCATTGACGTATGGACGACACATGCGACGGTCAATCCTCTTGCCAAGTATGACCATTAAAGCAATTCTCTTACGCGACCACCACAAGGCAGATACTGGTGGTAGAATATACGTAGTAATATTATTTAATCTATGGTAGAATGCTGAATTTAAATCAATGGTCTATAATGCCGCTGTACTTAAATGTAAGACATAAAATTAAATAAAAAAAATAAACTTAATTAACCGTGGAGTGGCGGGGTTCGAATATCCACTACACCATATCGTCCCGAGAGTGTCTTCAGAGACGACGGAGGGAAAATAAAACAGGATGTCAGCAGCAGCATCTTCCTGATAACAATTCAAAATAATAAAAAGCTGCGGTTACCAACCCACTTACAACTCGCGGCACGAAAGTCTAGCGATGACCGTTATTGCGAATAATTGGCTTTATTGCGCATTATTGCGTATGATTGGTTGTGCGTATCGTTCGCACGCGCTGACATTCGCAGCTATCCACTCCACGTTTCGTTCAGGGTTAGAGTTACGTGCCGCGATTTATACTATCTATGATGGAGGCCTATATTCATCAGTGGACTTTTATAGTCTGTAATGGATCCTATACCTTTAAACGAGCAATTCTTGTATATATATAATCGGAATCTCGGAAAACGGCTCCAACGATTTTCATAAAATTTAGTGTTCAGTGAGTTTCGGGGGCAATAAATCGATCTAGCTAGGATTTATTTTTAGAAAATGTCATTTTGTCCGTGTTTTCAGGCAATAAAAAACTGCTACAATATAAAAAGGTAAATTTTGACAGACTACTAACGATCTTAATAGCTCAGGTGGAATGTCGGTCGGGCGTGATAACAGTTCCGTGGTTCGCGTCCCGTCTTTGGTCCGACTTTAATGTCCTTTTTTTTCAAATTCTCTTCTTTTTTGAGAAAATCTACTATTTCGAGCCCTTTTTTTAGTAATTTTTAAAAATAAGAAAAATTTTAATTAAACTTTTTTTAGTAAGTACTTTATAAAATAAGAAAAATTTTCATTAAACTTTTTTTTTAGTACTGTTTAAAAACAAGAAAAATTTTAGTTAAACTAATTGCACTCATGATTTTCATTCAAATAACCAGTTCAGTTTTTTCTTTTATGTCAATAAGATCAAAAAATATTATTCATGTAATTTGTATCTAAATGTAACTAAAAAAAAACGAGCAAAGCTCGGTCATCCGGGTACTGGATATATAACGCAGAAGTCGCAATCTAATCACTTATCAAAAATAATCGTCAACAAAGTCATCACTCAACACTCTCCTACGCAAGCAAAATTACTGATAAACTTATTTGTAAATAAATTATTAAACTTAAAAAAACGACAAAACCAGGTGGGTAGTTATTTAGATAGCACGCGCCCGAAGTAATTTCCTCGCGCTCTTTAGGAAACGGTCTTGATGGAGGGCGCAAAGGTTGTAGAGTTCAAAACGGCTGGTCACCCGCTGAGGTCGGCGAGGCTCGCTCGGATTTTGTACACCTGCTAATCGAGTTTGTATTGAGTATGGTGCAAAGTATGCTTTGTGAAATTAGTAAGTAAAGATAAGAAAAAAGGTTTTCAAAAAAATTTTGTGTAAACTAAATACATAATACTAAATACGTGTTTTACGAATAGCTTTTAAAACTGGCCA